ACAAACACCAAAGAATTTATCACAGTGCCGAAAGTGCCCAAGAACAAATGCCAGAGAATTCACCACACAATGCCAAGAACAAACATCAGAGAATTCATCATAGTGCCGAAAGTGCCAAAGGACAAATGCTGGAGAATTCACCATACAATGCCGAAGGTGTCAAGAACAAACATTAGAGAATTCATCACAGTGCCCAAGGACAAACGCTGGAAAATTCACCATATAACGCTGAAGGTATTCAAGAACACTAGAGAATTTATCACAGTGCCAAGAACAAATGCCAGAGAATTCACCACACAACTCTGAAGGTATTCAAGAACATCAAAGAATTTATCACAGTGCCTGAGAACAAACTCCGGAGAATTCACTACACAATGTCGAAGGTATTCAAGAACACCAAAGAATTCATCACAGTGCCTAAGGACAAATGCCGGAGAATTCACCACACAATGCTGAAGGTATTTAAGAACACAGAGAATTTATCACAGTGCCCAAGGACAAATGCTAGAGAGAATTCACCACACAACGCCAAAGGTATTCAAGAACACCAGGACAAACATCAGAGAATTCACCACATGATGCCGAAGGTGTTCAAGAACAAACACCAGAGAATTCATCACAGTGCCAAAAGTCTCAAGGACAAATGTCAGAGAATTCACCACAACACCAAAGGTGTTCAAGAACAAATACTAGAGAATTCATCACAGTGCCAAAAGTGCCCAAGGACAAATGCCAGAGAATTCACTACACAATACCAAAGGTGTTCAAGAACAAACACCAGAGAATTCATCAAAATACTGAAAGTGTCCAAAAACAAACACTAGAGAATTCACCACATAACGCCGAAGGTATTCAAGAACAAACACCAGAGAATTCATCATAGTGCCAAAAGTGCCCAAGGACAAATGCCGGAGAATTTATCATACAACGCCAAAGGTTTCAAGAACAAACACCAGAGAATTCATAATGCCGAAGATGCCCAAGAACAAATACTAGGCATAACACCAAAAGTATCCAAGAACAAACACTAGAAAATTCACCACACAACACCAAAATTGCCAAGGAGTATTCACCACATAATGCTGAAAGTGTTCAAAGACAAACACCCCACATAACGCCAAAAGTGCACAAGAACAAGCACCAAAGAATTCATCACACAATGCCAGAGACAAGTACCAAAGAAAAAGAACTCACTACACAACATCGAAAGTGTTCAAGAAAAATTCACTACACACCGCCAAAAGTGCCCAAAAACACGCACCAGAGAATTCACCACATAATACTGAAAGTGCCCAAGGACATGCCCAGAGAATTCACTACACAACGTCAAAAGTGCACAAGGACAAGCACTAGAGAATTCATTACACAATGCTGAATGTGCTAAGGACAAACACCAAAGAGTTCACACACAATGCCAAATATGCTCAAAGACAATATCAGAAAGTTTACAATGCCAAGGACAAATACCAAAGATTCATACGCCAAAAAAATGCCTGAGGACAAATACTAAAAGATCCACAATGCCGAATAGAGAATTCACCTTACATTGTCAGGAGAGCACAGAGACACACTATATAATATCAAAAGTTTCTAGAATAAACACACTGAAAAAGCTCAAAGAAATACTAAAAAAAAGCACTGAAAATACCTAAGAATTCCAGAGAACATATTAAAAAAAAAAGGTTACCTTCGTAAAAAATACTAAAGAAACATCCTAAGAGAAAAGCGAAACATTAATAAGGTGGAAGAAAAAAATAAAAAGACAAGAAAGAGCTAGAGAA